AGGATGAAAGCGTTAAAGTTCGACTTGGTTTACATAAGGCCCAGAGTGTATGTGTTTCCATAAGAAAGTGCAACACAGCAAAAAAGCGGAGGGTGTTTTTTTTTTTTAATGCAGTACTCGAGGTCTGATCAGAACAGCAGCACGGCTCCATTGCGCTGGGATCACACATACAGTAAGCGTCAATGTGGGTGTATATGTATAAAGATCTATATGTTTACACCTGCATATGTGTGTGCTTATATTCCACCTGCTGTGGGGATATAAATCTGTCATGAAAATCTGTTATAAAAAATGTCTAGAAAAAAAGTTCTAATATTGTAAATTTATTTCATTAAGAAGGCAACGTTCATTGCTAGCATGACCAGCTAACACGTTAGATGTAGGGTTATGGTAAATCTCCAGACAATGAATCAAAGTCAATGTACTGACCTCTGAAATAATGAAAATACAGCAGTGTGTGTCTGTGTGCATGCCGTCCGAAATATTCTCCCGCCTCTGTTTGGCCAGGAATAAAGGTACTGCCTTTGGAATGATTTGGAGTGAAGCAGTGAGTGTGCGTTTAAGTGTGCAGATATTTCTGGTGCACTACATAGAGGCCCCTGCTGACAGCCTGTCAAGCAACCTGTCAGACTTGGAGGAGGATTATTATCTCCTTCTGTATGCTCTATTTCCACCAGCTTCAAACAATACTCCATACTGTGACAGGAGAGTGTGACAGAGAGTGCAAGACCACCAGTGAGAGAAATAGGAAGGGGGGAAATAAAGGAAGAATCAGGGAGATATTAAAAAAGTGCTTGCAGAACTAACAAAAGATATGCTTCCACGGCAGATAAATGTTAGTATTGATTTTCTCAAATGAAAGACAGACGCACTTCAATCAGGTTATCCAGTTAAGTCGCTCCTGACATTGTCAAAATAGTGGCAAACGATTTTTCTTGAGCAATTCGTTAAGATGAAACAAGACTTTTAGGGTCAGTTAAAGTTCAAATACTATGTTTTGTGTCTTTAAAAGCAAAAGCAATACCCTATAGTAAATATTTTAGCAATTTTTTTTTTCTTTGTCACCAAAAACTGAGACTAAGCTACATGTCAAACATTTTGTATTTGACAAATCCCTTTCCAGAGTATGTTCAAAGATATTAATAGTCATAACCATTGTGAGTGCTTGATCTTACACCACTCAGGTATTTGCAAATGACAAACAAATCCTTCTTTTAATTTCTCGGCACATATGAATGTACACAAATGCATTAACATAAACCTAGCTAAGCTTTGCTTAACTCATCATTATTCACATCTACTGAAAACTGAACATCAGGCATCAAGAACACTTTGACCAGTCTCTTATGTGACTGCTGGTGTAGTCTGCAAACACACTGACCGTGAATTTACATATACTGCACACATCCACCTGAATATACAGTATGCATGCAAAACATCTCCCTCTTCCTTTGCCTGACGCACATACCCACACATTGAGGACTGTCTGTAAACATCCTAAGCTCTACAGTAAACACAGCTTGTGCCACCCGTATGCCAGCCTGCCACTCTTCTACTCCCTCTGCAAACCCAACCTGTTACTAATGAGACTAACACAAATAGCCAAGCATCTGACACCAAGACCTCTGTGTGTGGCTAATTCAAATATGTGTAGAGACTATTCATCAAGGTAATAAATGATTATTTAGGTTGACTGCGTGGTAAACGGAATACAAATTTTGTGCTGTGGTGGTTTAAGCCTGCTTGCGTTTGTCCATCTGTTATTTAAACTAGACAGGAACACAATCGGGAAAAAGAAAGAAAGAACTCTTTCTTGTCTTCAGCAAAGAGGCTAGCCAGAAAGAATTGGACTTCCTAAAAATCCCTAACTTCAGATTTAACCAAGCAGAATAAAGCCTATTTTTTTTTTATCAATTCCCAGAGTCAGAACCAGACATGGAGAAGCTGCATTCAGCTTTTATGCTCCATATATCTGGAACAAACTCCCAGAAAGCCTCAGATCAGCTGAAACACTCAGTTTATTTAATTCCAGATTGAAGACTCACCTGTAT